ACTCAGCCCCAAGGTATGCCATAACCCTCAGAAAGATTCGCTGTTAAATTCTCAGGTAACATCATACTGCCGGCGGAGCTAATGGCCGATTGGGAATGCCTCCACACAGTTTTTCCCTCACATTAGGACCAAAGCTGCCAAGCGTATGGATTCAGATACCTCGTTCTTCTTAAAAGATAGTGGGATTCCCTTTCCTGTCATTTCACACTTAAAATTGTGAGTTAAGCTTGCATTGGTTCAACTCATCAGTTGGTCCTGGGATAGCTCTACCCTCATCCAACCAAAGGAACCACGTAGATGCCGTCCCATTTCTCTCATTAGCTGCCGGGAGGAATTAGCATAAAGAATGGTGCAAGACAGACTCCAATGAGAAGTTCAAATCTTTTTACTGCAGTAGTTCACCAAGGGAATAAGAACTGAGCACAGTGTAGTCACTTTTGTGAGCGCCGTTGGAACTGTCGATGCTGGAGTTGTCTTCTTCACTCTTGAACTGGCAAATACTCTTTTCATCAGGGAAATAAAGAGGAGCATCAAGGGCAAGTTCCTGGCCTGGATATGGGGCTACTTCGGGAATGGATCTACCAAGGTGGGATTCCTGGGTCCTCATCCAAAGCACCAACCACTTTTATATGGGACCTGTCAGGGTGTGGTCCTCTCTCTGGCATTATTCAGTGCTCCAATGACCCGCATCCTTGACATCTAACTCCCAGAAGGGTGCAGGATATTCCCCCATACAGATGATATTTAAATCATAGGGCTCATCATTGTCTGAAGTTCAGGAGTGCTGTAGAGGGACAAACTGAACCAGAAATTTTTGGATACCCCCTGATAAAAGGTACTAAGATGAACTGATTATGAACAGTTTGCAAACCACTCCTGGTTGCCCTATTAAACCAGGGTGCCAATACATGTTCAGTTAAAAAAATAGTAAAAATTCTTCCAAGGGCATCATATACTTAATGGATATATCAGCTGGCCCATCTTGCTTCATCCATTCAGTTACAAAAATGAAAACTGGAAAAAGAGTCAGTGACGATGAGAGGGAAACAGTCAAGCCATTTGAAATATTTGAAATACAGAGAAAAACACTTTTATTTGTCAAACATATGCATTTTATGTAATACCAAAATCTATCTTTACAAATATCACTGCGATATGTTCACAAACATATACAAAGTATGTTATATACAAGTAGGAGTGAGTGGTGTGGTTCCGTCATTGATTACCATCCCCATCCTGCCTCCATCGGTATGACCTTTTAGGGGGAACAGGGGATACTAACCAGATACTAACTGGTAGTGTAGGGTGCCCACTGCCTTTCTTCCTGTAGTTGTTTCACATCAAACAAGCACAAGAAAATAGAGATTAGGTTAATCTAATGACCTGGTAAGGCCAAAGGAACTTATCTATAGAGTCCTCCGGAAGGATGCAGGACAAACCTGGCCTGAGCCTTTGACAAGAGTCCCTTTTGTGCTTAGGTTTAGAAGCAGATATATCCTAAGTGCAGCCACTGACAGTTGGTAGCTGTTCACGAACCTTACTAGGATAAATAAAGAACCCACACTGTCGCACCTCAGTTCATTCTTGGCCATAAACCCCAAGTGTAGGGCAAGAGAAACTGATACTCTGGGTAGGATACATGAGGTGAGGGATGGTGAATTCATGTGAGCTCTCAGCTGTTAGACTCTGAGCTCTGAGGCCATGGCAATCAAAACAAAATCCAATGGCCATTCCAGGATGGTTGCACTACAAATCCGGGTGAGGAAAGTAAAAGCACCTCATTGTCTGTAGAAAGTAGACTAGGGAAAGTTCCCAGGGTACATTGAAGAGAGTTTGTAATTATTGCCAGGTGGATCAAGACTATTGCAAGGGGTCGATAAGAACGAACATTCCATGCAGCAAAAACTATGGTATGATCTAACTTGCTCCAGGATCTGTAAGCATTCCATACTGACTAATAATACCACCTCAGAGTTATGGTGTCTAATGAAATCATTTGCCACGATCACTGGTAGGGAGGTACCTAGTGACCTCTGCAGAATCTCAATATGTGAAGTTGTAAGGATCTCATGCAGTGAAGGACATAAGCCCCTTGCAGTACGACCTCATTTGGGGGTAAGGGGTGCAGAGATCATTGGAGCATGGTCGTGGATCCATAGATGGGACTCCTATCATAGAGCAAGGCAGGGGCCTCTCAACCAAATATCAAATAAGAATCCTCAAGCAGCATGAGAAAGTCATCTGAAAGTTAAAAGTTGGAAGACCTGAATTCTCTGCACTTCTTGGGGATAAGATAACAGAGTGGATCTACTGCTTTGATTGCATGGTTGAGGGAACCAAGCAGACTCTCCCGATGCTGATGTGACATTAAGAAAGTATAGTCAGAAAGATCTAAGACCACTTCACTGACCCCAAAGCCATGATCCACTAGAAGCCCAACCATGAGAGTGGTGTTATGACAACCAGATAGCACGTGCACAAGTTCAACTGCAGGTTCATTAACTTGCCCAGCTGAAAGTTTTCATCCCCTTTCATTCTCATGTGGATGACTTAACAAAAAAATGTCATCCAAGTACATCTGTATCACAGTACTCAAGCATGACTCAGTGGGTATAGCTGTTTAGTGAATACCCTTAGGGTAATAGAGTTCAAAGCCAACACACCTGAACAACCAACATCCTCCAGAACTTTAAGGAATGGATGAGATATTTTACGTGGCACACACCAAGGAAGCTTATTTCAGAATCTCAAAGAGCCGGTCCATGTGGACCTGGCCCACCATTAGTTTTGATCATGTCCTTCAACAGGAGTTCATTAGCAGGGATGGACCTGCGAGCGGACTTCCCTGGAAAAAACTAGAGGAGAAGAGGGACCCACCTGCCTACCCAGAAACACTGGAGCCCAACATCACCACTTTTAATGCCCAATTCTGTGGAAAGGCAGTGAAGAATATGTAGATATAATGTTCTCTCTCTGCTTTTTTTTCATATTGCTTGCTGAAAAAATCTTTATTTCCATAATTCAAATATAATACCATATCATACCACTCTGGACTGAACCAAAGGCTTCCCATGCACTATTCAATCAGGGCTGCTTCTTGAGCACCAGAAAACATAATATGTGTGTGTGAGTATGCACGTGTACATGCATGCCTGCATGCAGGTACTCAGGGAGTCCCATCCATTATATTTGAACAATAATAAAACTCTAAATTGTGGGTATAGAAATTCTTCACTATTGTATATATAAAACAGTAAAATGATTTCCCCCAATAATAACATATTGAAACCTTGGCTCTATATCATGACTTTATCATATGGATTTCAGTTTTCTTGGGAGATACTTCTTCATAACCACATTTTTAAAATACATTTTACAACTTACATGTATATAAATTTATTTGCATCTCAATTATTTTTCTGAAACTATAGATCCTAAATTGTCTGCAATTCTAGATGGTTTGATTCCCAAACTCTACTAGTGTTAGTATAGCTTATTTTTTCGCTAAGCTTACTCACTAGCGTTATCCTCCACTTTCCTGTAAGGAGTGTTAAAACAAAACACTTCAAAGTAACTGTATACATCAACCTCCTGAATATTATGTACACATATCAGTGAAGCAACTTGATCAGACTTTACTTCTTGGGAAAAAAATCTTATTTCTTCTATGCTGTGTCCACCCTTGTCACATATAAAATCCTTTTTATGTGGTGTCCACAGCTATTACTACATAGAATTCTTTTCTTCTTTACAATGTGAGCTGGAGCACCTTATGGCTGTGGTTTATTCTATCAGTAATACAGGCTTTTGCTTTTAAACCCCAGGAAAAAAAAATAATGTATGTAAGCACTATGTACATTTTCCAGGATAAATAAAATAATACAATAAACTGTATGAAAAATGTATTCAAAAGTCATCTAAAAAATTAAAATCTGTACATTCATGGACAATCCCTGACCTTAGAAGTCAAAAAATTTTTATTTATTTTTTTGTTTATTCTATTTATTTATTTGTCCTTCTTTTTAAGTAGATATGAGAATATGCAAACCAAATACCTTATTTTTTCCTCAACATAAGCAGAAAAAGACATCCTCAGACACTCTTACATACAACACAACTAAATTTGCAATACCTTTAACATGTTCAAATTCACACTAGTTTTGTTTCATCTCAGTTCTATCTAATACAGCATATCATAAAAATAACAACATAAAACTAAAATGCAACATCCATGTTCCAAAAGTAACAAAGAAATACATAAAGAGGCAATATTTAATCACTCACATTACAATTGATTTCTTTTACAACTACACAGAGACAATTACTTTCTCGTACCATTAATCTGATGAATCCAGCATCCATCGATAAGGAATACTTCTCACCTATTTATGACAGAGGAAAAAATACATGTTTTTAAACTGATATTATATCTCAACAGTATATTCATAAACATCATACAACATCTGTAGTTATATAGTCTAACACTAATCTGATGAAAGTATTCAAAAACTAAATGAGGATATAATGATATTTTTAAGAACTGATAGTTACTATAACTACAAACAATATATAGGTTTATATCTTTAAATTTATATTTACATTTTCCATGTGCATATTAAATTTACATTTTCCATGTGCATATTATCTTTTTCATATAATCTACCTAAAATAGTCCCACTATTAGTTATAGCCCAATTGTAATCTATTCTTATTTGATAGGTGCTTTACATAATTAATAGCTTATAAATTGGAAGAGATTTATAAGCCTCAAAGCAAAGAAAAATCAAATAATTTTTTGAGTTTGGATGCTCTGGTGTACCTATACATGGTGGACCTATACATGCTCATAACAATAGTGTAACATGCAACCACTTTGTGTCTAGTGTTATATATGTGTTGGAAAAGTTGTCAGTAATATCAGTTATCATAAAGAAAAAATAAAATATCAGAAACAAATTTGTCTTTACATTTTAGCATGTGACTACAAAAATTCTGAGATTTATCTGCATTTTTTATATTCATTCATACTAGTTCATAAAGAAAAACATTCACTCTTTCTCTTACCTAATATCTGCCTTATGTCAGTAATGCGAATTCCTTCTTCATTAACTATAAAAGTACGAAGATCCTCTCGCTGTTTTAATGACATAATATGGGTACCACAGTCCACTCTCATTTTCTGTAATATGATACAATTATACTAATTTAAAATTAAAATATTTCATAATCAACAACCATTTCTATTATGTATGTGGAGCAAATATATTAATCTTTAATAAACACATGGTAATTCAACTGACGCTGTACATACACAACACACCATTCAAACACTCACACCTAAGGCATAACTGACTGAATGGATTACAATAAAATGAGTAAAAAAAGTTCATGCAGGACAAACTGACTACATGACAATAGTCCTCACTAATCTGAAAAAAGGTCAGGTAGTTTTCATGTAGTTTGAAGCTTTTTGCACATTGACACTTTTGAGATGAACTTTGATAAAGAATATTGTACAAAAATATAAATGAGATATATATATATACATGTATATATATATATACACACACACACACACTTCAACTATTTTGTATATAGTAAACAAATGCAAAATCTTACTGACGGGATAAAAGCAACAATATAAACACAAACATTTACCAACCCAAAGAAATTCCTATGACCAAATGCTCCTATGATAGCTAATTCTAAAAATACCCATAATCAACTTCTATGGATACACACACTTACAATATATTTATCAGTGTGTTCTGTACCAACCACGTGATTGTACATGGCTTCCATCTTTTCATGATATCCACACAAAATGCACTTGTAATAGAGCTTCCCTGGTACATAAAACTCCTCAACCATTTGGAGACCTGAAATGACCATAATAGGTTATACATGAAATAAGTACTTGAAATGTCCTATGCCAGTAATGATGTATGTAAAGATGCTTGCACTGGAAAACTGATGTGGGAAGATGACATATCTCTTAATACTGATCTTATCCCTACTTATATTCAAGTAACGATAGTAAAATAATGAAGTGAAGATAATTGGTTATTGGTGAGTTGAACTGATTTTTTTTTTTTTTTTTTTTTTTTTTTTTTGTAACCAGTCCTGTTATTCTAGAACGAAACTCACCGATGGCTTTGGCGTTTGTGCTCTCCAGCATGTCACGTAAGTTTAAGTACTTCCGAGCCACTCCACGTGGCTTATAGGTACATATGTTCTGTGAAGAAACACATTCTGAAATTCCTCTTATAACATAAAACATCAATCTACATCTATAAATAAATACACAATAAAAAATATACATGACATATTATAAATAACATTCTAAGACAAAATACCTTACCTTCTAGCTATGAAAAAAAAAAAAAAAAAAAAAAAAAAAATCTCAAATCACATGAATTGTCATTTACAAATTTGTAAGTTCAAACTTGAATAAAAATATGCCAAACACAAACAAAACCTTACAAAAATCATTCATAAATCAGAGAAACAAGTAATTACCTTCAAGTGACTTCCAGATCGATTGTGATCACACATGGACTTTACATGGTTCATAATCTTGTTACAAATCTGAAGAGAAACTTCAGCATTAGTTCCTATAAACTACAATTTTTTATTAGTTATTCATTATCATATAATCAGGATAATTTAATATTACGTATTTGTCAAAATCGGTAAAGAGGACATCACATCAAAATTCCATTTACATATCACTTTGGGTAAATATTCGTTCTTATTCATAATTCTTTTATAAGACATAAGATAAACAATAATGAAGTCTATGCTTGGCTAAAATTTAAGTGTTCAGTTCACAATATTGTTCTGTTTCTCTCAAGTATGTTTTATCCACAAAGCTAGAAATGAATCAAGGTAACAGATCTCTTTGGAGAAATATGCAGATTTGCAACCCTAATAACATTACACCTAATTTATTACATGATTTCATTCTCATGTTTCATATATCATAAAAAAATTAACTTACTGTACAGAAAAATTGCATCCTTTGCCCAGAGTCAAGCTCTACATCCCATTCCTGGCCATATATCGTCTCTGAAAGAAACGTTTAAAAAATATTTACAAATTGAAAATTGAAAAAGAAGTAGAGAAAAAAACAGATTGTTTTGAGAGAGAGAGAGAGAGAGAGAGAGAGAGAGAGAGAGAGGAGAGAGAGAGAGGAGAGAGAGAGAGAGGAAGAGAGAAGAGAGAGGAGAGAGGAGGGAGGGAGGGAGGGGGAGGGAGAGGAGGAGGGAGGGATGGGAGAGAGAGAGGAGAGAGAGAGAGAGAGAGAGAGAAGAGAGAGAGAGAGAGAGAGAGAGAGAGAGAGAGAGAGAGAGGAGAGAGAGAGAGAGAGGAGGGAGGGAGGAGGGAGGGAGGGAGGGAGGAGAGAGAGAGAGAGAAAGAAAGAAAGAAAGAAAGAAGGAAAGAGAAGAAAGAAGAGAAGAGAGAGAGGAGAGAGGGAGAGGGAGAGGGAGAGGAGAGGGAGAGGAGAGGGAGAGGAGAGAGGAGAGGAGAGAGAAAAGGTGAGAGAGAGAGGTTGAAGGAAAATGAGAGAGAGTGAGGGAGAGAGAGAAAAGGTGAGAGAGAGAGGTTGAAGGAAAATGAGAGAGAGCGAGGGAGAGAGAGAAAAGGTGAGAGAGAGAGGTTGAAGGAAAATGAGAGAGAGCGAGGGTGAGGGAAAAGGCAAGAGAGAGAAAAGGTGAGAGAAAATGCACGAGAGAGAGGGTGAGGGAAAAGGCAAGAGAGAGAGAAAAGGTGAGAGAGAAAGAGAGAGGGAGTGGGAATAGGCAAGAGAGAGACAGGGAGAGGGAAAAGGCAAGAGAGAGAGAGGGAGAGGAAAAGGCAAGAGAGAGAGAGCGAGGGAGAGGGAAAAGGCAAGAGAGAGGGAAAGTGAAAAGGTAAGAGAGAGAGGGAGAGGAAAAAGGCAAGAGAAAGAGAGAGAGAGACAGAGCCAGAGAACTTACACATTATCATTATATTGTAAATAAATCTAATTATATGATATTTCTCAGTTTTCTAGAAAATAGACAATATTCAATATCATAGAAAATATAAATGTATCAAACTTAAATAGAAATACTATAGTCTGTTATTACTTGCTGCTCTTCTGAAGTCGTCTATTTTGTTCTTGCGGTAACAAAAATGCTGAAATGAACCCAGCAATTCTATAGCCTGTGACTGGAGATAAGAAAAAAAATGTATATATAAGCTTATATCTTTTAGCATATCCATCTACCTGCATAACTGAATATCCATCTACCAAGGTTTATGCCTATATATCTATTTTTTTTATTTGTCTACCTACATATTTTTTTTCTATTAAAGTGACTATCTTCGAGAGACCTCCAATGTGGCCGACACTGCTCTGGGTTGCAATCATAACAACCACTTGCTGCCTTTATTTATGAAGCGTAAATACGGCCTCAAGTTATTTTAATTTATTCTCATACAGACTTTGTACTTTGCATATGCCCTAAACATATGAAGGATAAGGTTTGGAAGGTTGGTATGGTGCATATTTTAAATCTTATATGAATTTGTATTTGACTTTTGCCTGTTCTTATGGAAATTGTTATGAACCTTTCTTATTCACTGATATTCATAATATCAATATCCTTTGGATATATTTTAACAATGTTCATGGGTAATATCAATTACAGCAGTTGGGATATATATATATATATATATATATATATATATATATATATATATATATATATATGCAATTACAGACATTACACTAAAAATTGGTGTAAGCCATTACACAATTATGCAGCAACATAATAAAGTGAATAACACTGAAACAAAATAAAAACAATTAAATCACCAAAAATCAAATTCAATTTTGAGTATAACTAGAAATATCTTGTTTTCTACTATTAACTTTTCAGTTTCATACCAGGTTAAGATATAACACTATAAATGTAAATAAAAAGTATATCTGGCTGTGTTCCAGCAATTTTCTTTGATTATTAAATGAATCAGATAAGATTAAATGTGGGTAACATAACCTACCTTATTCATTTGATCTAAGGAAACACAGGAACTGCTGCTCTGCAAGTGATATATGGTAACTGTGGAGAAGTTGAGAAATAAAAATAAACAATATCTAAATATTTGATACAAAGAAAAAATAATGAAATCTACTGTATACATGAATGTTCAATTAAAAAAAAAGATCATATGAATTTTATAGGAAAAACCTCAGTTATACAGCCACTAGAAATCAACAATCTATTGCCAACTGTGACATACAGGCCGATCACGTCAGTTTCAAAGCATAAAATAATTCTGACAGCGTTTTAACATAGTTGTTGGGAGTTCCAAATACTTACTTTTGATATACACAGTACAAAAAGCAGTACAATTCAGATCAAGCTGCAGGAATTCCTCCTTAATCCCTTCAGAATATGTGTACTATATTTAACCAAACTCGGGTCAGGATACAAAAAAAAATTATAACTAATGGATCCTACAGATTTGAATGTGATGTCTTATAACATTAACTTTGAGCAACAGATTTCACAAATACAAATCAGTTTTTACTGTGTGTGCTTGAGTATTGAGTTAAGAGATGAAATACCACCTCTGCCTCAGGTGACAAGATAGCATGTCACTTAAGTGTTAGAGAGGGTTCCAGACGAGCAGCTGTTGTTGTTTCTTTCTAATCTATGCTTTCTTAAATCACGTTGAATTATTCTACTATATTCACATGTCAGAAAAGTGATGAATCCCCTAATGATAGTGGGCTGGGTACATTTACCAAGACACGCTGATTAAAAACAATTAAAATACCTCAGAAATCCCTAGAAAATGAAAGGAAGATTGTCATTGAAGTAACCTTCCCTGTCCCCTAAAAAAGAAAAAGAAATACATATAAAATAACCTGAATATGTGACCTCTGCATGAAATTGAAATAAAACAATCTGAATCTAAAACATAAGTAGACAATATCAAACATATAATACAAAAGCAAAAATGGAAATCATAAAAACAAAGTACCAGATGGAACAATGGTATATGCTTATAGGCCTACAACATCCAGAAAACATTTGCAACCAACAACCAATTTCTTTCAAATAGTTGAATATGAAGAAATATGCTAATAAAAACAATGCATATGGATAGATCTAAAGAAATATTTATTTAATCTGAAACAGACGTTGCTGCACACATTTGAGGTGCATACTATACAACCACATGCACTAAAATCTTAACTGTTGGTACAATATAGCTAATAAATGTATTTTACCTACCGTTTCATTATGACATTGATGTCTATCATGCAAAGGCTTCAGAATAATGACCCACAGAATTCAACCACATGCATGATTATAGAAACAAGAAAATTCACAGAAAAAACTACTTTTTTCTCCTTCGTGTCCTACT